GCCACCTTATGGGCATCGCTTAAGAGCATGTACGGCCGGCTCAACGATAGTTTCCTTTTTAAGGAATAAAGTCGGGTCGACCAGAGTTCTATTTATGCTTTATTTTATTTATTGTTATTCGTGCCGAACTTACTTGGTGAATAAATAAGTAATGTGCTGCGTAACGAGGTGTTACTATATGAATTGTGTGGCGAACGGTAGGTTGGAGTATATAGCAGTTGAATCTACAGTACTGCTTAATTATCTATCTATTTATTTATTCAAAAGTCTTTTTACTACTAGTATTGTTTATTTGTTATTTTATTTATTTATTTATATATTTACTTATTTATTTATTTATTTATTCATTTATTACTTATTATTTAGTTAGTTATGTATTTAGTGTTCGACGAGGTGTTCGCGCCAGTGGTAAGGCATACTATTTATTCGGTTGATTATTTATTTTCTTATTTATTCACTTTCTTATTCGATTATATATCTTAACTATTTATTTATTTATTTATTTTTATTTATTGTATTATATCATTTGTTTATTTATTTATTTGTATCGTTATTATTTACTCATTTATTATGTATTTAAGTATTTATTTATTTCATTTATTTATTTACTTATTATTTATTATAAATTTTTATTATTATTGGTTATTTATTTATGTTGTTGCGATCCGCGCATGCATCATTGGGTCTTATGAGAAAGCAGACACTAGCTAGACTATGTAATGTTAGATTTTATAATGTTAGCAAGTTAACATGTTATATATGTCGGAGATGAAAGGACATCGAAGCCTCCCCTTTGGAAATTCGGGATAATCCCCTAACACCGTAATCTAGATTCTATCATAGGCGTAATTAAACAGTTGTCGTCTTTCGATCCGATTGTATTTGTTTGAGATTCGTGATAATGAGCTTGGGCTCGAGGCGACAATCAGTCGCCGAACGTAGCCGCGGTCACAGGATGAACGCTTTGTCTAACAAAGGTATAGAGTAATTCTATAGCTCTCCTTAAAAGAAATATTTGTAGCGGCACGCGACGGTAAACATTCCAACGGTTTCTGTCCCGTGGCTCGCCCACCGCCAGGAATTCCACAGAGACAAATTATGGATCCACTCCATAGAACATAATATGCGTCTGTCAGCTGAAACGGAATGGATAAACTAACCTTAATTGCCTTGACATATATGAAAGAAAATAATATTATTAAAAATTTACAACAATATTACAATTAAACTAAAAGAAGCACGATAACAGTCAATGATTGTTGTTCGACAATAGATTTACGGTTGTCCAATGGAAAAGAAAACTCAAAGATCAAGAAAATATGTGACATTACTACAAATAAGTCAACACTGACGCAACTTCGATAAGATGAAACAAAATTAGTTAATAAGTGTAGAAAGAGCTTATAGAATAATTAAGATAGGTTAACTGAATGTCAATAATAAATATGACTAGAATAAGAAGGTGTTATACTATATTAACCTATATAATATTGTTAAATTATTGTATCTGACATATGGAAATAAATTTTATAATACACAATAGCGATAATTGATACAATACAATACCCACGTATTAAATTAAATTAATTAAATGACATTTTTATACTTACAAATATAGGATGAATAAAGATATCCATAGTAAGTATTTAGAACATAAGAAGAACCGGATGATGCTGTACGTACTGCAGGAATGTTCCATGTAAGTGATGCAGTGTTGAAGGAACATGATCGGAGAAGCTATAAAACAATAATAACCCAATAAACAAGCTTTGACTAATAATATATGAATTAGCTCCAAAATTATACCATTTAAATATGAAATAACAACAAATCACAAGAACCAAGTAATGACAAACTAACAAAAGGAAGCAGAAATAGTCAATGAATATAGAAATAGATTAGAAATTAATCAAGACAGGTTAACTAAGCATCAACGATAAACATGATTAAAATAAGAAATTATTATATTACATTGAGCTATTATAGTGTTATTATACTAAATTTAATATAAAGAAATAAAGTTATACATACTTACAGATATAGAATAAATAAAAGTAAAATAAGTGTTTAGAGAATAACGAAGAACCAGACGATACCAAATACTCACTATATAAATGTTCCAAGTAAGCAATGCATCATCGAAGGAATAGAATTTGAGAAACTACAAACAATAATAATTCAATAAACAGGTTTTAACTACTAATACATAGATTAGCTCAAAAATTTATACTATACAAATATGAAATAACAATAAATCGCAAGTACGAAGTAACGACAGATTAATAGGAAAGAAATAGAAATAGCTAATAAATATAGAAATAAGCTATAAATTAATCAAGATAGATTAGCTGAATATTGATGACCAAACATGATTAAAATTAGAAATTATTATATTGTGTTGAGTTACTATAGTATTATTATATTAAATCTGGCATAAAGAAATAAGGTTATATTACACAATAGTGACTGGTGACACAATACACTATGCATACATTAAATTAAACCAGTAAACACAAACCACCTTATAATCAAACAATGAAACAATTCTATTAGTAATTAATAATTTCGAGAACGATATAATCCACATGCTATTACATTAAAATAACACACAGTATATATATATGTCGGATTAACATTAGAATTTAAGGCGCGTAACTATTCTTCGTTTGATTTAGCCATCGTTTTACACAACAGAGATTATATTTACGCGTATATACAAGATTTTACAAAATATTATGAATATGGAGTTTAATGAATAATAAGATTAACAAACAATAAGTTTAACTAATGATTAGATTAACGAATAAGTTTAACGAATAATAAGTTTAACGAATAATAAGTTTAACGAATAATAAGATTAACGAATAATAAGATTAACGAATAATGAGATTAACGAATAATAAGTTTAACGAATAATGAATTTAATTAACGCTATTAACTATGTTCCTGGGTTCAAACGAATCCACGGCCAACGGGATAACTCTTTACTATGCGTAGAATAATTTTAAACACAAAAAAATACGATTGCAGAGACACTCGGTAAATTGCTCGATGTATCACTTTCCAAGGCTATCACACGAATGAATATCTGATGAAAATCTTTTTCGCTGTACGACTTCATTTGTTTGTTATATGCTCGCTGGAGGCATCGAGAAGGTTTCAATCGCCGTTACTAGGCAGTTTCTGCCAAGAGTTTGTTGTATACTCTTTGGAAGCATCGAGAAAGATCCAAAAGCCGTGATCCAAACGCCGTTGCTAGGCAGTTTCTGTCTGGAATTTCATTCCTAATACAACGTGTGTCCCATTATGTCGACATCTCCATAGTACAATTCTATGTGATTTCTAGGGAGAATTATACAACCGACCCACACCTTCGTCAGGCAAAACGTTTATCCGTGACCGTGGCTACGTTCGGCGACCAGTTGTCACCTCGAACCCACTTTTGTTATCACAAATATCGAACAATTCCAAATGACAACAATTGCTTAATTACAGCTATGATAAAATCAAGGCTAAAGCATTAGAAGACTTTCCCAAAATTGCAAAGGGAAGGCTCCGGTTTTCCTTTCATCTCCGACATATATATGTCGGGTTTACATTATGATTGGGGTTAGGGGCGTGAAACGAATCTTCGTTTGGGTTACACGTTG